GGGTGGAGAGGGAGGTGGGAGTGGGGACCGGGATGGGGAATACATGTAAATCCATGGCTAACTCATTTCAATGTATGACAAAAACCACTGCAATGTTGTAAAGTAATTAGCCTCCAACTAATAAATATAAATGGAAAAAAAAATAAAATAAAATACAGACCATTCAAAAAGATCATTTAACAAACATTAAAATCAAGAGGAAACACCCACTCTCAGGCTGTAAAGAAAACCATATTATACTTACGATTAAACTGTGACACATATTTATCGCCCACAGTAATATATTCCATCTCACTGAAGAGGCCAATCCTCTCCATATCAGTTTTCCCTCCTTCCATAGGCATGGCTGCTCCTTGGGGGCTGTGTGCTCAATGTTGGTGACTTCAGCGGGCTTCTTAGTGCTACTTCTATAGCAAAATTCTACTCTACGCTGAAAAATACAGGAGAAAATTTACAGAAAAGCTGATTCTAACTTTCAACCCAAAATATTTTCAGTCTGAGAGTTAACATGCACATAGTTCCATCATAAAACAATAGTCCCAACTATATGGGGGAAGAATCTACCTTGTGGGGCCGAGGGGGAATAATGGAGATTATTCCTCCCCTTGAGTCTCCAGCTGAAGTATCCACAAATCACAAAGAAATGTTTATCTGCGGCACTGCCGTTCATCTGTCACAAATAGTAATATTATGATGGTACAGTGTGGTATAAATACTGTATAAACAACATCCTTCTTTTGAGAAGTTCAAAGTTGACTGAAAGATCTTAATTATATAAGGCAGTCATTTTTAGTTTAAACCCTTCTATCTAAACATACTACATTGTCCCTTGTATTAAAAATTACAACTTACTTTTACAGAATGCACAACACACCTAGGCATTACCCTATAGTTCTTGAATTTTTTCAAGTTTAAATGTATATAACAAATGTGCCACTTGGTGAAATCAGTTCACAACAGGGATAGGAAGGGGGGACAACTGACTAAGCAAGATAAACACGAAGAAGAGCAAAACAAAAACCCACAAGGAATTCAGAGTATTTTGCTAAAGAGCAGACTGCAACTATGAGTTCTTGAAATATCACTCTAAATACGCAACTACGTATTCGGATGTTTCCTTTAATTAGACATGTTCTAAAAAGTTGGACCAAAGAGCTAAGAATACTTGCCTCCATTTCATGGTAACATTTTTGAAGCACCAACTAGATCTAGGTACTGGACACATAAATTGCTGAATAAAACAAACATTGGCTTACACTTCCCAGTTTATAATCCAAGGTAAACTTCTGGCTTGAATTTAGAGCAGGCTGTTTCAATGACAATAACAGGATTGTCTATTTGAATCTGTGGCTCATCCTCTCCTCTTCCTTGCCATCCTACCTCTGATCACCTATGCTTTAAAACTAAAAGCCAGTCAGTTGGAGGGCACTAATTCGATTTGTTCCATGTTTCAAGGCTCCATCTCCACTGCAACCTTAAAGTCTTTCTGTGCTGCTACAGGGGCTCAAATGCTTTAAATGGCTCAGAAGGCCACTATCACCCTCATCTGTCACCATGGGAACCCCTCTCCCTGGAACCTAAGCTCCAATTGTCTTCACTGCTCAAGTCGGCCTCTCTCCAACCACAGGACACTGGCACACACTGTTTCACTTTCGGCAGGTACTTCACTGTGCCTACCCCTTTCTTTCCTCAATAAATACTGATCCTTCTGATTGTTTAGCTCATTCTTCACTTCCTTAATTCACTCCATCATAGCGCCAAGTACTTCCCTCTCCAAGCCCTGATCATGGATGTTTATTTTATATTGGGTTATTTTACATTCACCTTGTAGGGATATTGAATTAACTGCTGTTTTCCCTCACTAAACTGTGGCTCCAGGAAGACAGGAACCACCCAACGAAGTGTGACACAGAGGGAAGAAAGTAAAGGGAACAAAAGGGGAGTTTTTGCTTTGAATTCTTCCACTACTTAACCTTTTTTGAGCAGCACTGGCAAAATATTTGATTCATTTATTTAACGTTTTGCAAAACCCTCCTCTGAGTAGAGCTTGCTGGTAGAAGTTATAAAACTGAGATTTTAAAAAGCATAGATACTGCTGTTAGGGAGCTTATACTTTAAAGAAGACAATAAAGTATAACACAGTGGAACATGGCAAGTACCCTTCCAAAGTTACGGATAAAGTGCCCTAAGGGGATGAAGGAGGGACAGAAAACTTCCGGGGGAAATGATGTCCCATTAAGGAAACGGAGGTTCAGAGTAGCCAGGTATCTAAAAGGCAGTACCTGATGGCTGCGAGTACCAAGTCACTTCGGAGAAGGGTACAAAGATCAGAGATCAGATTGTCCCAGCTCCAGTCCGAGCCTGGCTGCAGAAGCGACCAGCGCCACGAGGCAGCCGCCGCGCGAGCGATTCCCGAGCTGTACCTCGCCCGCAGCCTGTCCGCACGCTCGCGGAGCCACGGAGACCGTCTGCGGCGCGTTGCCCCGGCTACGGGAGAATCCATTCCGAAAAAGAACGTTGCGGGAGGCTAGGTGGAGGGTTCGCATCCGGATCGAGGAAGACACAGACAGAAAGACGTCAAGAGGGTGCGGAGGACCTGCATCCATCTTTCGTTAGGACTTCGGCTCCCCGCCCCGTTATCCCCCCGCGAGATCTGGCGTGGTGGTACGCGCCGTGACGCACACCGCAGGGCATGTTGGGAAGGGTAGTCGGCCTTCCCAAATCCCGCCCTCCGACGGAACCACTTCCGAGCCAGCCTCCCGCGCGGTGGGCGGGCTTTGGTGTTGCTGTCGGCACCGCGTAGCAGATACGGTGAGTATCCCACCACCCTCCGCCAGCTCGCCACCGACTCCTGCGTGGTCACCTCCGACCTCACTAGCTGCCTGCGAGTGGGGCTTTGCGGCCCTTGAAAGAACTGGGCCTGCCGGGGACCGGTGGTCCGGGCCTTGGTCTGGGCCTTTTCGTCCTCGGCGTGGCCCCTCCTGGTAGGGCCGGAGGGAAGCCACCCCCGGACGACCTTCGACTGCCGGCCTTCACCGCTCTCCCTGCACCTTTCCCTTAGTGTGCGTTTGGAGAACGAGGGACTCATGAGACGTTTTTGAAGGTTTCGAAGAAAGAGTGGACCTGGAAAAGAGAAGAGTAACTTTCCACATAACTCTTGCTCCCTAGGCTGTGTGGTGGTAACGCTTTCCTGGTTTCCCCTCTGATTGCTCAGGCAGGTTCTGCTGCAGTCCGGTGTCCCTAGATGTGTCTTCAGTACTTTTCTTTACACCTTGTGCTTTCTCCAGAATTAGTATCTTTAGCTTAGACATGTATTCTGAGCTCCAGAGCCTCATATCTATTAACTGTACCGCCACTTGGTTGACGCATATATATTTTAAACTCAGCAAGTTCAAAACTGACATCCCCACCTCACCGTGCTCTTCCTCTAGTGACCCCCGTCTCAGATCATTGCGCCACCACCCACCCCACCGTTTTTCATGCCAAACACCTGGAAATCATCCTTGATATCGCCCTCTTCGCATCTCCTGAACATCTATCTGTTCCGTGACCAAATCCTATGGAATCTACAGGGGCTTCTCTGATAACTCAGTTGGTAAAGACTCCGCCTGCAATGCAGGAGACCGCGGTTCAATCTCTGGGTCGGGAAGATCCCCTGGAGAAGGGATAGGTTACCCACTCCAGTATTCTTGGGCTTCCCTTTTGACTCAGCTGATAAAGAATCTGCCTGCAATGCGGGAGACCTGGGTTTGATCCCTGGGTTGGGAAGATCCCTTGGAGAAGGGAGCACTACCCACTCCAGCATTCTGGCCTGACTGTATAGTCCATGGGGTCGCGAGGTGTCGGACACTACTGACCTCTAAATGGTTGCCAGTCATCACAGTCTCTAGCTATTCTTGTCCTTGGCGCCATGAGATCTAACCCTCTGCTCTGTAAGCAGGCCTTCAGTCAGGCCCCTGCCTGGGAGAGGCTTGGCCACCTTCACCCCTATCTTTTCCTTAGAATTTGGAATGTTCTTTGGAGTATTTCCTTTGGAATATTCTTATCTACTTACCCCTCAGACCTCAGTTTAAATATTGTTTCTTCAGAGAGAGTCTCAATTCAGAAGTATAAGAAGATTCTAGTGTGTTCAGATAAGATCTCTTATAGAGCCTTTGGGACAACCCTGTGATGTATATTTTTCCAATATTACAGAAAAGACACATTTGAGTGATTAGTTACAAGGTCATACAGAAAGTCACAGGAAAGTGTTGCTGTTGCTGACTTTTATCTTCAGTATCTTTCAGTGCCATTAAATATTTTTTATTCAAATAGGTACATAGTATTTAACCGACTTCTTATACTTAACAGATTCTTATTGATAGCTATTTAGGTGGGATTTTTTTTGTTTTTTGCTGTGATGAACAACAATATGATAAGTGGACCACATTCAAGCTAACTTTGTCCTGAACTTTCTTGACTATTTCTGTAGGATAAATTCCAAGAAGTATAACTGGGGCAAAGGGCATGTTTCAATACGTTATAATTTGTGGAAAATAAAAGCAGTCACCGTTGGAACAATGTGACAGGGATTATAAATGCGAAAAATAGTAATGGTACCTATTTTGAGTATCAAAGTTAATATATGTCCAGTCATTTAGCATAGTGCCTTCTACTTTTTAAGAGTTCAGTAAATGTAGTACTTACTGATTTAGTTAAAAATAGGGCTCTTACTCTGTAGTATGTTTCTTCATCTTGTTCGAGGCATATTTTGAGACTCTGATGAAATCTTTGAAACCTTTTCCCAGAGGTTGCTTTCCTCTTTCCCACCCTTCTCTCCACGCAAAATGTTATGTCTTTTGTCATATGTCATCAACTACCTGAAACTCAGCATATGGACTCAAATTAAGAACTGCTAATAATTTCATTTTACAAGTGCTTTTTTCTCCCCCTTTGCAGGCATTAATATTCACATAAAGTGTGATTTTTCATTGCTATATAGTATTTGTAATTATTAATTGGTCTCCTTTTGTTGACAGGTTAACATCTGTATACACTAATCTGTGTGTGTTTTGCAGATTTCCTTAAATTAAATTTCTATATGCAGAATTACTAGACCAAGAATGTGAATGTAAGACTTTCGATTCTTATTGCCACCTCACCCTATGATGAATTCTAAGAGTTTATACTTCATACTCCCACCATCAGTGATATATTAGTTTCCTCTCATTGTCTTGCCCACCAGTTGTTATCAAAATAGGTTCAGTGTTCCTGTCCCATTCTTAAACCATTTCTTGACCATTGATCTTTTCATGGTGTTGTTAAACCCTTTAATTGCAAAGACTATAATTTAGAAATACTGTCCCAGAGCAGTGTGGTCCTCAGCCTTTTTCCTTTAGAATCATTGACATAGAAGAGTTTTTAAATATTCTCCCCAGACGAATTTATCAGAATATCTGGGAGTATAGCCCGGGAATGGGTGCTTTAAAATCCTCAGGTGATTTCAATGTGGAGCAAAGGCTGAGAACCTCTAATACAGAATTGATTGTTTTGTTTTTCTCCATAAAGCAAGGAATTAACTCATGAAATAATTTGAAAAGTCAAGGTAATTTATACCTTGACCTAAATTCAGTTGGATTCTAATTTATATGAGGATGTTTCTTTTGTTTTACAATGAAATTTTGGTTTTATTTGTCTTAGGTTATTTCAGAGACTATGGATATACTGTTCAGAATAAGAGGTGGCCTTGATCTAGCTTTTCAGCTAGCTACTCCTAATGGTAGGTCTGCCAAGATACTCTCCTTTTTTACTGTAAAAGCAATGGTGAGAATCTCACCATTTTGCAAATGAAACTGAATGAGAGGGTGAATAAATGTCTAAGGTCAAATAGTAAGTGATATGAGTTGGATTTAAACTTAGAAACTGTGTTCCCCACCACTGCTAGCCCATGGGGCTCCGCTGCACGTTAAGAAAAAGTGCCCCCTTATTTAAGAAACTTTACTGCCCTCTCCAAGAAAATTGTCACAATAAATATAAATATCCACTGTGAACATAATGTAAATGAGACAGCTAGACTTATACATTGCACACTTAAATACACTTATACATTGCACACCCAAGACTCCAGAACCCACTCTCGTGGGGTCATGTGGTTTAGGAATGTCAGACAGGTTCTATGGGAGAAAAATCAGCAGTGTTGGTATAAACCAAAGTCTAGGATGTCTTCCTGTTTCTGACTACTGCCACAAACCAAGCTAAATGATATCAGAGGAGGAAGACAAGGAGCTATGTTTGAGATGTGTTTGATTTGAAATGCCACACTACATCAAGTGTAAATTCCCAGCAGGCAATTGGTAACTTGAGTCTGAAACTTGGGGGAGAGTGGTCAGAATTGGAGATAGAGAACTTATATCTTATGAGGATGATAGTTAATGCCTTGTATTAGATGAAATCACTCAAGAAAGTATGATCAAGGGTGTCAGGAGCCACAGAGAAGTTCAGAAAGGTGAGGAATAAACAGTGTCAGAGTTCCTTCAAGGAGATCACCAGCTGATGATTATTTACTGGCCCCTTGGAAAGAGGAAGGGAGAGAATGCAAGATATTCTTTCTGACGCATCCCTTCATATTAAAAAATTATTCGTGTTGGCCCACATTCTGATTCCTACTCCCGGCCAATTAAAGTAAGTTTCCAGGACAGAGACTTCAGCATCAGTAAGTTTTTTCGTTGATTCTCTAATGTGCCATCAGGATGAGAATTGTTTTGCAAGAACTAAATCAAACTCATTTTTAAGCCTATCTTATCAGGAAAGTATTGTTCCTTGGCCTTCCCTGGTGGCTCAGTGGTAAAGAATTCATCTGCCAATGCAGGAGACACAGATGGGATCCCTGAGTCGGGAAGATCCTCTAGAGAAGGAAACGGCAACTCCCTCTGGTATTCTTGTCTGGGAGATCCCATCGACAGAGGAGCCTGGCAAGGCTTAATCCATGGGGTCACACACAATCAGATACAACTTAACAACTGAGCTCCCATGCAGTGTGGGGATAAAGCCTTACATGTTACAACTCGCTATAAATTGAAGTTATCCTTTGTATGAACTTATTACAAAGTATAACTGATCTGTCATTCAGCAGACATAATGATGTAATTTCAAGTATAAATAGGGACTGCAGATACGTTTTACGCAAATAATTGATGTATTTGAGCCTGGCAAGGCTTAATCCATGGGGTCACACACAATCAGATACAACTTAACAACTGAGCTCCCATGCAGTGTGTGGATAAAGCCTTACATGTTACAACTCGCTATAAATTGAAGTTATCCTTTGTATGAACTTATTACAAAGTATAACTGATCTGTCATTCAGCAGACATAATGATGTAATTTCAAGTATAAATAGGGACTGCAGATACGTTTTACGCAAATAATTGATGTATTTGAGCTTGTCTTCAGACTTTATAGTATTCTTCCTCCTGTACCCAAGTCTTTGAAACACTCCATGCAGGGAATCATTAATGAGGAAATACTGAGAATGGAGTGCTTAACTTTAAAGACATTGCAGTTATTTAGATATTTCATGGTCTTTAGGGATGGACAGAAGATAATCCAGGAATTATGTTTGTCTTTTGTGGTGAAACTATAAATCTTTAAATTTGGATTTCTGAAACATATCAGGATGCCTTTATATCTGATGTGTTATAAGTAATCTTTCTCTCCTACAACC